CGTGGTTCTGATCTTTAAAAATGCTCAAACTGGAAACATTCATTCATTCATTTTCTTTTTGCCTTAGTCTCTTTATTAATCCGGGTTCGAACCGCCAACTTTTCCAGCACGTTTTTACGCAGCAGATGCCCTTCTAGCTGCAGCCCATCTCTGGGAAACATCCATACACACTCATTCACACTCATACACTACTGACAATTTAGCCTACCCAATTCACCTGTACCACATGTCTTTGGACTGTGGGGGAAACCAGAGGAAACCCATGCAAACGCAGGGAGAACTTGCAAACTTCACATGGAAACGCCAACTGACCCAGCCGAAGCTTGAACCAGCAATCTTCTTGCTGTGAGGCGACAGCACTACCTACTGCGCCACTGCGTCGCCAAACTGGAAACATAAACTCAGAATTTCATTCATTCATCTTCCTTCAGCTTAGTCCCTCAGGGGTCACCACAGCAGAACGAGCCACCAAGCATGTTTTTTTATGCAGCTGATGTCCTTCCAGCAGCAGCGCAGTACTGGGAAACACCCATACACACATATACACACACACTTATACGCTACAGCCAATTTAGCTCATCCAATTCACCTATAGCGCATATCTTTGGACTGTCGGGCAAATCAAACCCACACTATCAGCTCTTCAGACTGTTCATTCACAAATGAATCCCTCTTTTAAACCATATACAGCTAATCAAAGGGTTTTAAAATGGTTCAAAATCACATTTGATTCATTCGAACAGTTTGCTCATGGAATTATTTCGGTTTCTCAAACCATAAATGTTTTAGACAGAAAATCAGCACTCATTCGTCATACGTTATTTAAATTGACTTCCATTTGTACAAACCTGGGGTGCATAAACATTTTGTTATGAAGGGCCAAATACCAAAGTTGATTGAGAGCCATGGGTCGAAGGTAAATATATCAAGCTGTATAACAAAGCTACCATGAATAATGTCCTCCTTTATTTTTAAATTAATTGAAAACAAGATTTTAATCTTTAAGTAATGCATTTTTTACACTTATAAGTAACTTATTATAATAAAAACATAAGAATTCAGATTATAACACAATGAATTTTAATGCAAAATACACTATGCTGCACCTGCCTTTGCCTGGATTTGTTTGTGTTTTTTTCCACAAGATGTTCATAAAAAATAAAACATATTGAAACATTTCACCTAATTTTGTAGCTTAAAATAAACCAAGCAAATGAAATGTTAAATTAAATTTTCAATGGCAATGTAGATTAAAGGCATTAAAGGCATTGACAAAATTCTCCCCCTTTGCTCTGATGGGATGGCGGGTTTGGGCATCTCTGTGATATGATCACAGTTTTGCTACCATTGTAGTAAAACTATGTCTGTACAAAGAAAGTCAGTGTGACAAAAACATGTTTACTACTTTTTTTCCACTATAAAAAACGATGGTTAATTTTCGTAATGGATGGTAGGCTGTCAAATGAAGGCTATTATGGAATAATAGAAAGGACTATTAAGACAGATGAAAGGCTAAACCCTGTCTTTTCTCCCTCACCATATCTTATCAACGTATTATATTGAAAACATCACATAGCTTATTATCAATAAATATAGGTGTAGACTACTTGTCTTAAAGTTATTCTATATTTAATGCCACCTATGAATTGTGAACACATTCTATCAGACTGTCATTTGAGTATAGAAATTATCCTGACATTTGCTGATTTGGTAACGTTATTAGGAAACAACATATACAAAACATTAATTTCAATGTTCAATGTACAATAGCAGAAAATAAAATATAGCAAAAAAAAACGCTATTAGCACTTTAGCAATTAGCACGTAGCCGTAATTTAAATCGGACAAACACTGCCATCTGCTGGATAATATAATGCACAACCATAGCAGTAATTCCTACAATGTTTGTTTTTTAACTCTTTATTTTAACCTGAACACAATTCTCTAACATTTAAGAGAAACCTAGTAACTGATAATGTGTATAAGCCATGCAGATGCTCCAATGCAACCTATTTTATAGCATTCCACTATCTACATCTTCCCTACAGAAAAATCCAGCTTAAACCAGCCTAGGCTGGTTGGCTGGTTTTAGCTGGTCGACCAGCCTGGTTTTAGAGGGGTTTTGGCCATTTCCAGACTGGTTTCCAACCATTTCCAGCCTCGTCTTAGCTGGTCAGGCTGGGGGATGACCAGCTAAAACCAGCTTGACCAGCCTAGCCAGGCTGGGAGTCCAGCCAAAACCAGCTATGTCCAGCTTAAACCAGGCTGGTCAAGCTGGATTTAGCTGGTCATTTTCCAGAATGACCAGCTAAGACCATGCTGGAAATGGCCAAAACCCCTCTAAAACCAGCCTGGTCAACCAGCCAACCAGCCTAGGCTGGTTTAAGCTGGATTTTTCAGCAGGGTTGTTATCCACATGTTTGTTTTTCCTCTCCTGTAGCTGTGATGAATGACTCCTCATTAATGAGCTATAAAGAATTCAAGCAGCATGCATTAATTGTGCACAGCACAAACTGTGCAGAGGGAAATTATAGGGACGGTTAGGGGTGACCTGACTCCATGACCAGCAGCGTTTATTGTTAATGGGATGCAACCACAGTCTATGGATGCAGCACAACAGTGCAGTGGTCAGTCTAATGACAGTGCACTTGCCTGGACACATTAGAGACGTGCTCTGAATATGGAGAGATGATGATGATGTGCTGCACTGCAGGACGGCGTCCGTATCATTACTGTCCTCACATGCTGAGCTCTGATTACTGACATTACGTCTGGACAGCACTGACTGAGACAGACTGAACACATCAAAACACATGCAATCAATGCACACACTTACAAAATAAGAGTGGAGTAATTTGGGTTACTGAGGTGTTATTGTAAACAGAATTATAGGCTGTACGCTGCGTTTTGTTTCGGCTTCGCTGTTTTCTTTTAGATTTTGGTATAAAGAAAAAGTAGAAATGAATCTCGAAAAAAAAATGTTTTTTTTACACTCAAAAAGCATTGATGTGGTCCTTAAAATATTTTTGTTTAAATAAAAAGGTTGTGAAGATATACTACCTCTATGAAAATAATTAATAAATCACCTGTGAATTCTATATTTTGGAATTGATTTTGCATTAGCAATATAAATTACATTAAAAACAAAAAGCCTAAAAAAAACAATTAATATCAAAGACATTAATATATCTATTCGTTTTTGAGACAACACAATTGTAATGTTTTAATTACACACACACGCAGTATATATAGAGTATATATATATATATATAAATATATATATATATATATATATATATATATATATATATATATATTTATATATATTTATATATATTTATATATATATATATATATATATATTTTTATATATATATATATATATATATATATATATATATATATATATATATATATATATATATATATATATATATATACTCTCACCGGCCACTTTATTAGGTACACCTGTCCAACTGCTTGTTAATGCAATATTCTAAACAGCCAATCACGTGGCAGCAACTCAATGCATTTAGGCATGTAGACATGGTCAAGATGATCTGCTGCAGTTCAAATCGAGCATCAGAATGGGGAAGAAAGGGGATTCAGGTGACTTTGAACATGGCATTGTTGTTGGTGCCAGAAGAGCTGGTCTGAGTATTTCAGAAACTGTTGATCTCCTGGGAATTTTACGCACAACCATCTCTAGAGTTTACAGAGAATGGTCCGAAAAAAGAGAAAATATCTAGTGAGGCAGTTCTGTTGCACAAATGCCTTGTCGATGCCAGAGGAGAATGGCCAGGCTGGTTCCAGCTGATAGAAAGGCAACAGTAACTCAAATAACCACTCGTTACAACCGAGGTCTGCAAAAAAGCATCTCTGAATGCACAACTCTCTGAAACACTTCCAACCTTGTGGCAGATGGGCTACAGCAGCAGAAGACCACACCGGGCGCCACTCCTGTCAGCTAAAAACAGAAAACTGAGGCTACAATTCTCACAGGCTCAACAAAATTGGACAATAGAAGATTGAAGAAAAGTCGCCTGGTCTGATGATTCTCTATTTCTGCTGGGACATTTCGATGGTGAAAGCATGAATCTATCCTGCATTGGATCAATGGTTCAGGCTGATGTTGGTGTAATGGTGTGGTGGATATTTTCTTGGCACATTTTGGGCTCATTAGTACAAATTAAGCATCGTGTCCACACCACAGCTTACTTGAGTATTCTTGCTGACCATGTCCATCCCTTTATGACCACAGTGTACCCATCTTCTGATGGCTACTTCCAGCAGGATAACGCACCATGTAATAAAGCGTGAATCATCTAAGACTGGATTCTATAACATGACAATGAGTTCACTGTACTTAAATGGCCTCCACAGTCACCATAACTCAATCCAATAGAGCACCTTTGTGATGTGGTGCAACGTGAGATTCGCATCATGGATGTGCAGCCGACAAATCAGCAGCAACTGCGTGATGCTATCATGTCAATATGGACCAAAATCTATGCCAGGAAGTATTAAGGCAGATCTGAAGGCAAAACGGGTCTAACCCGGGAAGGTGTACCTAATAAAGTGGCCGGTGAGTGTACATGTCTAATAATATAATTTGTAATCTATAATAAAGAAGCAATAGGCTCTACAAGCTAAACTATTTTTTTATGATAAATAAAAATGGTGGGTGTTCATTTTTTAAATAAATGTATTCTTTAACAATAGCTATAGAAAATCAATGAAGACATTAAAACGCAAATGTTTTAGACAGACAGACAGACAGATAGACAGATAGACATATTGACAGATAGATAGATAGATAGATAGATAGATAGATAGATAGATAGATAGATAGATAGATAGATAGATAGATAGATAGATAGATAGATAGATAGATAGATAGATAGATAGATAGATAGATAGATAGATAGATAGATGTGTGTCCCTTTAAACAAGCCAAGTGACCACACAGATGCATTATGGGAAATGGCCAGAGCCAATCACAGTGGACTGCGCATTGTTTGAGTTCAACCGTTGTATGTGTTGACGGAAGTTTACGATCTGCTAATACCTCTTATTTCACCACATTTACCGCAACATCGTTTAATAATGTTACGTTTATCCCTCAGATACGTACAAGTACCGTATGCCATTTAGTTTGACCCGCCAATAATGAATCGCGAACTTAGCTTTTAACTGGTTGCTATGGCGACGCAATGGCGGCGCTCGAGGAGCTCGACGCTTTGCGAAAGAAGAACAGAGATTTGTTGGAAAAACTTAAGAAACAAAGCGAGAAACTGCATCAAATGATCATCTCCGACTCTCAGGAGGTGGACAGAAATCTGAGCTCTGTCTGCGAAGGATTTACCTTAAATCGAGCGCCTTTAAAAGAGAAAAACGGAGAGCAGCCGCCGCGAGCTTCAGCTTCTACAGCGAGGAAAACAATCCAAATATGCGGTCAGAATAATCTAACTGTTATTCAGTTGAGCTTTTGTGTCGATGAAGATGTATTCGATACATATCAGGGTCTTGTTTACTACTTATGACCGCAGTTTGAAGCATGTAACGTTACAGGAATCTGCAATAGTTGAACTTTTTGCTAATGTTTGCGTACTCTTTTTAGATATGTAACGTTAACGTAACTTAGATTCATGTAAATTAAATAGTTATTGTTATTTGTAATATTGTTATCTTATACAATATTAACTAATGTTGCTACTGTATTGTGATTTTAATATTTGCCTATTTATAGCTATGAATATATTAAGGGACTTAAAATACTCTGTTTCTACAGATTTACTACTTTTTTGTTTTATTCTGATAACATTTCTTCCAAATTTCAAATAAAATAATTGTCATGTATTGTTTATTTATCATTTTTCATTCATTTTCAAAATGAAGTCCACCAAATGTTGATTTATTTACTCTTCTGAACATAAAAAACACGACTTCGCCACAGCGGAACGAACCGCCAACTTGTCCAACATATGTTTTACACAGAGAATGCCCTTCCAGCTGCAACCCAATACTGGAAAACACCCACACACACACTTATTCACACTCATACACTATATGGCCAACTTGGTTTATTCAGTTCACCTAAAGCGCATGTGTTTGGACTGTGGAGGACTGTAGAGCACCCAGACGAAACTCTCACCAACTTGGGGAGAACATGCAAACTCCATGTAGAAATGCCACCTGGCCTAGCTTGAACCAGCGACCTTCTTGCTGTGGGGGGACAGTGCTAACCACTGAGTCACCATGTTGTCTGAATGTCGCCTTACACCAAGAAGATCGCTGGTTTAAGTCCCGGCTGGGCTAGTTGGCATTTCTGTGTGGAGTTTGCATGTTTTCCCCGTGTTGGTGTGGGTTCCCTCCGGGTGCTCCAGTTTCCCCCCCACAGTCCAAAGGCATGCATTATAGGTGAATTTTATAAACTAAATTAGCCGTAGTGTATTATTTGAGAGTGTATGAGTGTTTCCCAGCTGGAAGGGCATCTGCTGTGTAAAACATATGCTGGATAAGTTGGCGGTTCATTCCACTGTGGCAACCCCTAATAAATAAAGGGACTAAGCCGAAGGAAAATAATTGAATTAATGTCTGGGGACGTTTCTATATTTTACATTTTCTGCTCTACATGACAACAGTTGCATTTAAAATTGGGAAGAAATATCATCAGTTGAAATTTTTGAGGTTCTTTAATTAAAATTTATTTAAGCACATATCTAAATCCAGTACATCCAGATAATTTTTAATAGAGTCTCTTATTTTTGCACAGCTGTATACACTTATAACTTAAATAATTGTTCCCAATTTAATGACTCCATCAAATACAAATGTTAAATTACAAGCATAGAAGTCATATTAAATCAATGTAAAGTGCATGATTTTTATGTTTCAAATAACTTGTGAGAATATATGGAAATAAGTAAAGATTTTACTTGAACAATCGTGAACAAAGACAAGATTTTTACTTGTAACAATCATAAATAGACCATTTTGAAGGATGCAAACAAAAACAATGGTCCCAACATATTTCCTGTTTTACATTTTTAATTTATCTAAATTGCAAGAATCCAAACAACCCCACATATTAACAATAAATAATGTTATTACAGCTGTTTTAACATGATCTTATGATTGAATTGCCTCTGGTTACAGTTATAAAGTACTTTAATAACAAGCAGGAAATGTTCAAGAGTAAATGACATGACCACATTGAAATGATCTACATTTATGTATAAATAAAACAACATTAAATACGTACCATGTTCTTCTATGGGCAGTATTAAATGATTAAAGGAACAAACCTTTTTAAGCATTGTAGGGATAGTTTAAAGATTGACCCAAAGAATGACCAGTCTGGTAGATGAAGAAGAGCCGGAGTTAGATTTTTAAATAAATAAATCAAGTTTACTGAAGATAGTTTGCAGTTACATCAGCAGAAGCCAATGAGTTCCTAGGCCGCTCTGCTTACAATCACCAATCAATAACAGTTATACTCTCACATAACGTCATTAACTGCGCCATACATACAGGTGTTCTAACCTGATTGGTTAAAACACAGATAGACTTGGAAAATTTTCACGTGGGGTTTGTGCGTATATTCTGAACAATATCTTAAGCATAAACGTCAGACATCCCTTAGACTGATTAGAGCTGACTCCAGACCTGTGAAATGGATCAACAATCAAATAGAACACACACTTAAAGTATAATCTGTTTCTTATCCAAGGCTGAGTGTACTCTCAGTCGTTCTTATCAAAACTGGTTAAAAACAGGTATAATCTACATTCAGGCAGTTATATTCTTACTATACAAAGTCTATCTTGAATAAAAGTAGAATCACTTTAAAAGATTTAACCGTAAAAATAGCAAAATCACTTTAGACATTTTAGATAGTAATAACTACCAGAAATATCAATAGAAACAGTTGATTCCAGTCCTCAGCCATCAGTTCCACTCAAGGTCTCCGTGACCTCTGACCTAGTTTGGTGGCTTCTGAAAATAGTTATAAAGAGACAGGCAAATGCACTGAACATTCTTATATTAAGCAATGTGTTAACTTATTCATTAATTAAAATCAATTCACAGTTAAATACTCATTCAAATGATCAAATAATTATATTTAATAAAAATTATGAGAAACAAGATGATGAGAAAAGGATAAACGTTGGTCCATGATGAGACGGATTGGAAAGCAGAAATTCGAATCCTTCAGTATAAAGATTTCAAATGACTATTTTAATGTACTTTGGGCTAGCACTTAATTAATCAAATGATTCTTATGTTAAATGTGTCCGACAAGATCATTTTGGTATAGCCTTCTGTCTACTGTAAATCATGGTAAATATGCATATTACTGATGAATTTGCTTTGTGTCTTTAGATGAACAGCTTCCTGCAGATTTTGAAAACCGCACACTGGACCTACATAAACTCACACACAGTCAAAGTTCAGAAGCGACCGCCTATGGTACACTCCTGCAGGACACGGGGAACAGTCGCTGGACAGGACAATGCCGAACTGTGAGACTAATGCTGCCCAAATCTGCAGATCTTACAGCAGACAGTGACATATTGGTAAACAAAGTTTGGTAAACTTTTTGGTAAACAAAGCAAGTCTCTCATATAATATCTCTACTAAAAGACAGAAAATATTACTTTACAAACTGCATTGTACATAAATCAGATGAACATTTTCTTATTAGTCAATAATATTACTGCAATTAATTTAAAACTGAATAAATATAGATTTACACAGATTTATTCAAGTAAACAAACAGTATTAATGATGGGCTTAAAATCTGCGGAATTCTGCGCGCGCAGATTCCGTGTGGGCCTAATCGTCACCAATATAATGTGATTGTGAACATTCTAACACAGTCTGACTCTCAGTAGGAAGATCAGAGACTGGCATAACCCCCACACTGGAAACTACTGGAAACGATATCTAATCAGTGCCATCATGTTCTCAATAAATGCCCAGTACAATGTAGTTCCCATTCATATTCATGTAATGTTATATCAAGATATAGGACCAGCAGATCTTTAACAGTTTCTTCAATTTATAATCCCGCACTACATTTAACACCATTTAGCAGATGATTTTGCCAAAGCGATTTATAGAGGAAGAAGATATTAGACTGAACACCCAAGAGGCAATACACATAATAAATGCTACTTCCATTATACATATATATTGATACTGATAAAAAAATGGCTTGGGATAGGGAGGGAGGATTGAATTATTTTTGTATTTATTTAAAGAGATTTTCAATGATGGCAGTGATTCTATACTGTTCATATCTCTTCCGTGAGGTTAAATAAACCTGATGTTGCGTGTTAGGTTTGGTCTGCTCATTTGCAATGCCTATAGTTGTTTTTGCTAGATAGAATCACTAAACCTGTTTGCAGTGGCTTGAGAAAGAAAGGTTATTTAATCTAATAGAGGAGATCTGATGGCTTACAATGATTTCCAATGAACACGAAAATATGAAAAAAGCACCTAGCGTAGAAAGAAATCCCCACCTGTTACCGTTTAGCCAGAGACTTTTCATTTCAAGAGTATCAGATGTGTATTATTGTGTTGTTTTTTCTTCTTCTTTTTTTCGGGACTGAAGAGAGAAGCTGACAGAGCCTCGACTGCTGGACTACAGATGGAGACTACATCAGATAGACGCATGCAGCCTTTACTGGGCTATGACTGGATAGCAGGTCAGTTATTTAAATGCTGTATTAATGATTAACTCTAGATTTTACATGATGTTTTCTATGCACAGATGTTACAGTGTGTTTTCGTTTCAGGCCTTCTGGATGCTGAGAGCTCTCTGGCTGATCGTTCTGAGCAGTTTTTCAGTGATCTCCGCAGCTTCCGTCAGGTTAACAGAGACGAGTGCATCCACAGCTTATTATCAGGGTGCGTTTCCTAATATAGGACTTCAGATTGTGTCATTTGTAACAAAATGAAACCTGATGGTGGTCTCTTGTGTAAACCAATGATGGTTTTGATACTCTTCTATTTGATTTCTAAACCCCTTTAATCATTGTAGAATCACAGTGATACTTTGATTGTTGGTGCTTCAGGTGATAATTTTGTTTTATAGGTCTGCTGCGATAGTTTTACACCCATCCAAAGTTTTTTTTTTATATATAAAAATATTAAGTCTCCTTAATTATTAGCCCCCTGTATTTTTTCCCAATTTAAGTTTAGCAGAAAGAAGATTTTTTCAACACATTTCTAAACATAATAGATTTAATAACTCATTTCTATTAACAGATTTATTTTATCTTTTTAAATGATGACAGCACATAATATTTGACTAGATTATTTCAGGATACTAGTATTCAGCTTAAAGTAACAATTAAAGGCTTGTTAGGGTAATTAGGCAAGTCGTTGTATAAAGATGGTTTGTTCTGTTGACAATCAAAAATGTATTGCTTAAGGGGGCAAATAATATTGACCTTTAAATGATTTAAAAAAAAAACAGCTTTTTTTCCTTGCTGAAATTAAACAAATAGGACTTTCTCCAGAAGAAAAAATATCAGAAATACTGTGAAAAATTCCTTGCTCTGTTAAACATAATTTGTTAAATTTTTTTTTTAAATAAAAGTCGAGGAGGGCGATGGATTTTGTATGTAAATGCACACGTGTATTTTTGAATTTTACACATTTTTGAAATGGCATTTTCCAGGCCTGGAAAAGTTTTGGAAAAACAGAAAAACCCACAAAGTTTTGTAAAAGCCATGGAAATTAGTTGAATAAATTATCAGTATACTTGAATATGGGTTAGTCATCCTTACATCTTTTCTGTCTTTGGCCAAAAACAAGCTTCTCACATAAATAGTGCGGTGTAAGCATTATCTAAATCAATTTTACATAGAAATACAAATAAATTTAAACTAAATAGATTGTTGCGTGTTTTACGACCCCAAATGTTGAGGGCTTACAACCCACCAATTCGCTCAGGCGTAACAATATGCTGTAATAAATTTGAATATGCATTGTTTTCCTTACCAAGTATACATAGACTTTACATGAAACATTAGGTCATGAAAATTTACTTGAACGTCCTGAAATTTGAAAGTAATAAAATGAAAATGAAATTTTAGTAATAAAAAGGTGTATGAACCCTGGATATAATATATATACAGTTGAAGTCAGATTTATTAGACCTCCTTAATTATGAGCCCCCCTGTTTATTTTTCCCCCACTGTTTAACCTAAAGAAGATTTCTTCAACACATTTCTAAACAAGTTTTAATAACTCATCTCTAATAACTGATTTATTTTATCTTTGTCATGATGACAGTAAATAATATTTGACTAGATATTTTTCAAGACACTTCTATACAGCTTAAAGTGACATTTAAAGGCTTAACTAGGTTAATTAGGTTAACTAGGCAGGTTAGGGTAATTGGGCAATTTATTGTATAATGATGGTTTGTTCTGTAGACTATTGAAAAAAAAATAGTTTAAGGGGGCTAATAATATTGTCCTTAAAATGGTGTTTAAAAAATTCAAGACTGCTTTCATTCTAGCCAAAATAAAACAAATAAGACTTTCTCCAGAAGAAAAAAATATTATCAGACATACTGTGAAAATCTAATTTCCCAATCATTTGGGAAATTTCAGAAGAAAAAAAAATCAAAGGGGGGCTAATAATTCTGATAATAAATTAAAAATATATGCAAAAACATTAAGTTGTTTATAATTTAGTTTTTATGTATGTGTGTGTGTATTATTTATAAATAATAAATGTGTTTAAAACACCATACACCACCGGTCAAAAGTTTGGGGTCAGTTCATTTAATTTTTTTTATTATTATTAATTGTATTTATTCATTTAAATTAAAATTATTCTGTTAATCAAGGCAGCATTTATTAAACGTAAAAACATTTTACAATGTTTAATACTTTTTAATTAAATATTTATTTTTCACTTATTGTATGTAGTTTCAAATGAAATTTTTACTTCAGTCATTATTGCTCTTATTACTATTACCATTAATAATTAAACTGTGAATAATAATAACAATACTAATTAATATTATAGAGATTTCTGAAGGATCATGTGACTCTGAATAATTAATAAAGCATTAATAAAGCTGAAAATTCATCTTTAAAATCACTGGAATAAACTATTAAATTAAACAATGAATTACTTTGAACAGTTATTTTATAGTGCAATAACATTTCACAATTTTACAGTGTGTACTGTATTTTTGATGAAATAAATGCAGCCTTGGTGAGCTTATTTTAAAGCATTTAAAAGTCCTACTGACCTCAAACTTTGTAGTGTATATCTTGTCAAAAAAATTTTTGTGGAATGTAATTAATCTTTGCACAGCACTTTTTTATTATGTAAATTGCAGCATCCACTCATTTCTCTTGATTATTTAAATGGTTGGTTTAAAGTTACCTCAAACTCCTCCCCCTACTAAAAGCCCGCTCTACTCTAATTGGTCACATGTCCGATTCTGTTGTGATTGGTCCAGCTCTAACAATATGTGTCAAAAATGAAACTAATATTTTTAAATTCAGCTCTAGATCTTCTACAGCACACACAGTGACTCTCACTTGAGCTTGAGTCCTTGTCCATTTTAAGTGGATTTGCTTATAAAACAGCGTCTTCTCGACACATTGACAACACAAACCACATTTTTTATCTCTCAGACACAGTGTTTAATGGTCAAAGTAGACATTTGCGGGCAGTTTATGAACGTAAGTACTTTTTGCTGAAAGTAAGACTGAAACTGGTCTTTATTTTAGGAGACGAAACCTTTCATTTTTGTACATTTGTAACTTTTAAGCTTTGCAGAACTTACATTCGTACTACATGAATCATACTATCTGAACAAGCACAGTAGCTGCTGAGATATCACAAGTGTCAACAAAATGATTAAAATGTCTTGACCTTTTTTTCTTTCACAGACTTCCATCTGTTGCTGACCTTGCGTCTTCAACTCTTGATAGTGAAGAGGTGCGTCCGCCTGCAGATTCGCATCAGTGTAAGAGATCTGCTGATTTGTGTTTGTGCTGAATCGCTTTAGCGCTGGTTTTTAATGTCACGAAGCTACCAGAAATTGAAGTGTTGATTTGAAATTTGGGTTTTGCTTGTCAGGCACTTTCTGCTACAGAGTAAACAGTCGATTGTTTGCGGTTCCGCTGGATGCACAGGCCGCCTGTCCAGTGTGCAAGAAGCCCAAATCTGAACACCCTCATACTGAAACAGAGCCTGCTTTAATCAGGTGAAGTGTTATAAACCATCTAGAAGGAATTTTAGATTTCTGTTTTACAAGGATGCCTTAAACTGACAGGATGATGGTATAAATTCAGCTTTGAATGACATGGATATATTATATGGTTATATATGATAGTAAATTGTATTAACAAAATTGAGAAAATTAATTTTGATGTTTAACTGTCCTTTTTGAGTCAAATAAATTCCTTAATGAACATTCTTTCTAATCTCGTAAAACTATAGCAAGCGTATGATAGTAACAAAAAAAACTGATGTGTTAATTTTAGACATACATAGTTGAAGTCAGAATTATTAGCCCCCCTTTAAATTTCTTTTTTTCTTTTTTTAATTATTTCCCAATTTATGTTTAACAGAGCAAGGAAATTTTTACAGTATGTCTGATAATATTTTTTCTTCTGGAGAAAGTCGTATTTGTTTTATTTTGGCTAGAATAAAAGATTTTTTTAATTTTTTAAACATCATTTTAAGGTCAATATTATTTATTTATTTATTATTTACTGTCATCATGGCAAAGATAAAATAAATCAGTAATTAGAAATGAGTTATTAAAACTATTATGTTTCGAAATGTGTTAAAATAATCTTCTCTATTAAACAGAAATTGGGGGGGGGGAAATAAACAGGGGGCTAATAATTCTGACTTCAGCTGTATATAAAAGATTAAAATGAAGCTGTTTAAGTTGTATGTATCAATTGAAACGTAACTTCTTTTAAAACATTATTAGGTATAGACAAAGAAATCATCTACCCCTGGAAAAATAATAATGACTTTGATACATTAAAATAATAATGAACATGGAAAAAAATGGTAGATGTAGTATTAAGCATGTAGTATTACATATGTATAACTTAATGCTTGTGTATGAAATGGTTCATAAATAGATATAGTTTTAAAAAAGCTCCCTAGGTATCTCCACTCTGTAACAGGTGTAAAACAGCAGAACCCACTCAATATGGTTGCGTCCCAAATTACAAGAATTTGGTAAAAAAAAATTTTTTTTAATGTTATTCTAAAGCCCTCTAAAAAATCTTGAACCATGTCCACCTATAGCTGTTCTTGGTATATTTAGTAACTTGGAAATGTTTAATAAATATGAAAGATTTAGCTCAAGAAATAGCCTAAATTTGGTATGGTAATTGCCAAAAGGGTAGTTTTGAGAATGTGGAAAAATGAATCTTTACTTAAATTTTGGTATGTGGGGTAGAGATATCGTAAACATGCTTGCTTCGGAGAGGTTGAGATATATCAGTAATGATAAATTGGAGATATTTGATGAAACATGAGGACAGATATTAGAAAACCTTAATGCATTGGAAGAAATGCAAGCATAACCAATGACCCCTGTCAGTAACATACAGTAGTAATTAAAAGATTTAGTGTAATTGATATTCACTATTCAGAATCTATAATATTTTTAATAATGTGCCAAAACTATTATTTGACAATAAAACTATAATCAGGATATTGTTTTTTTTTTTGTAATATAAGAACAGTGTTACTTTATAATTACTTTTATTTATGCAATACCTGACAGGCTAAATTATATTTTGCTTTCTTGCGCATTTGTCCCTCTGTGTTCTGTTGTTCTGTCATAGGTTAGTGTTTTTATAGATTGTATTTTATATGTATTATTATTGTATATATTTTTTTTCTTTCTTCTTTATTTTGTTGTAGTTTTATCAAAAAAAAAAGCACATAAATAAACGTTCAAAAAAAGCTATTTCCAAGACTTTATATTTTAGCAATGTTTATTTTTCATTGATTCATTTTCTGACTCTCTCTGTTTTATTTAGAGTCAGTATACCTCGCTCGACCCTGCTGCCAGCGCACAAATACAAAGCCCATCGCCGCAGCAGTTTTGATCCGTCTGACAGCCTGGGTTTACCTTCTGTGAGTTTCATATTGGGAAACTGGAATTAACAATTATCAAAATCACCTAAATTGACCAGAACTATTATACAGATCATATTTCGCTTTTGAGATTATCACCATTGACTAATAAGACAAGTGGCAGCTTTGTCAAAGGATAGTTCAGTTCTCAATATTTGATTTTTTTTTTTTCTTTGCATCATACAAGGTTCCCACGCTTCTTGTGAGTACTTAAAAGCATTTGAATTTCAGATATATGGATTCAGGCCCTGGAAAGTACTTAAAAGCAAACATAGGGTGCCACAATATGGGTTTAAAAGAAAGAAAAAGTACACAATTGAATTGTAATTAAAAAGCAACATATGAGTTTTAACTATTTTCTTTTTGACAATATACGAAACAATTATGAGTGTATTGTGTTGACTTTTTTTATAATGTCCTTGAATCATTCATGTAATTTCCGTAAGTATTTATTTATTGGATTTTTTTTTTTTCATTTCTACAATTTCCGGATTTCAATGTTTGGTTGTTTTGTTTAACCAATGTGGAAAACCCTATAAACCATATATCTGTGTGTACATTTGGTTACTGCAATCAAAAACTGAAAGGGGGAAAAAATACAGTTGAAGTCAGAATTATTAGCCCCCTTTGAATTTTTTTTCTTCTTTTTTAAATATTTTCCAAATAATGTTTAACTGTGCAAGGAAGTTTTCACAGTATGTCTGATAATATTTTTTCTTCTGGAGAAAGTCTTATTTGTTATATTTCAGCTAGAAGAAAAGCAGTTATTAATTTTGTAAACACCATTTTAGGGACAAAATTATTAGCCCCTTTAAGCTATATTTATACTTGATAATCTACAAAACAAACAATTGTTATACAATAACTTGCCTAATTACTCTAACCTGCATAGTTCACCTAATTAATCTAGTTAAGCCTTTAAATGTCACTTTAAGCTGTATAAAAGTGTCTTGAAATATATCTAGTAAAATAATATTTACTGTCATCATGGCAAAAATAAATCAGTTATTAGAGATGAGTTATTAAAACTATTATGTGCAGAAATGTGTTGAAAAAATCTCTCTATTAAACAGAAATTGGGTAAAAAATAAAAAAGCAGTTTAATAAATCAGGGGGGCTAATAATTCTGACTTCAACTGTAGGTCCTTGAAAGGGGTTAAATTACATCTGAAATTAAACAAAATGAAAATTCTTAAAATAAAAATAATAATGGACATTTAAATATTTAAAAAAACGCATTTAAATATTACCAGTATTGAATTCAACAAATGTCATTAAAGTTTTTTTAACATGACTTTTAAAATTAGTCAAATATTTTGAAAATTACTTATTATGTATAAGTGAATTGTTAAGTACAGTAAGGGCTTTCATGGTGCTACAAATGCTAAGGGATGAATTACAAAGGTGCTCGATTTAAAATCAATAGTGATTTAAAAAGCCCTTAAATCTGCTGTTTATGAAAGCATGTGAACCGTGATCATAATTGCTGTTGTATGCTTTTTATTAAGATTCTCTATTATAGAGAGAGAGAGAGGGAGAGATAAGAGTCTGCTATGTATGCTTGTATAAATAACACGAAGATTCTTTATTTTTTGGTTTGGGGATGGGGGTTTATGATGAGTAATGTGTTTAAGTAAAATGTTCTCATCTCTACTCATGAGATTTAAACATAAACTTGATGCATGCATGAATGAACCAGAAACATTTAACAGTGAAACTGAAAACATAATGTTTCATTTGCTAATCATTTTATTCTCAGAATTCGAAACAACAACAACAACATGCAAATATGATTTGTTTTTAGCACTGTTTGTCCGGCTGGTCCAATCCTATGCTGACCTCGGGCTCTCAGATGATCAGTCTGGACCTGCGGAGCTCCATGACAAAACCTGCAGCCACAGGAGATTCAACATCATCCTGTTTTCACAATAAACCGGTGAGACTATATAGCAGATTTACATGACAGTTATTTGTGTCAAATATTGGTCCCATTTTGATGTCTGCATCAAATAAAATTTACAAAATTGTTTTTATTAATTTAAAGTTCGAAGGATAGTGGCGAAGTATAATTTGAAACAAAGTATAAATGAAAGTTGTTCTTTTTTAGTTTAAAGAAAATAGGATTAAATAGGATATTAATACACAGGGGTCAGCATCAAATTAAATTTACATTCATCCATTCAGTCATTTTCTTTTTCGACTTAGTGCCTTTATTAATCAGGGGTCACCACAGCAGAATATACCACCAGCTTATTCAGCACATTTTTTACACTGCGGATGACCTTATAGTCTCAACCCGACACTAAGAAACACCCGTCCACACTCATTCACACACTCACATTATATACACTGCGGCCAATCTAGCTTATTCAATTCACCTATAGCGCATGTGTTTGGACTGTGGGAAAAACCAGAGCACCCGGAAGAAACCTACACATACGGGGAGAACATGCAAATTTACGAAAGTTGATTTTTATTCACATAGAGCATGTTAAGACAAGTGTTTTAATAATTCATATAACTTTCATGAAAATAAATTGGCAAGATATAAGTGAAATAATGTTCCATCATTCAGAGGAACAGATACATTTGTGTGAAAAATAAATAATACTCTTATTCTAACCCATCCTTAATAAAATAAATAAACAAATCTGTGATCATACTGTATTATATTGCATTTTATATTAAAACATGCTGTCCAATGGTTGAATCCTGGGGGTTTAAAGGATAGTGGTAAAGTATAATTTTGCTGTAAATTATGGTAAAATGAATGAAAGTTGTTCTTTTTTAGTTTAAAAAAATATAGGATTAAATAGGATATTAATATGCAGAGGGCAGCGTCAAATTAAATTTACATTCATTCATTCATTCATTCATTCATTCATTCATTCATTCATTTTCTTTTTCGACTTAGTTTCTTTATTAATCAGGGGTCACCACAGCAGAATGAATTTTTTACACAACAGATGCCCTTATAGTCTCAACCCAACACTGGAAAACACCCGTACACACTCATTCACACACTCACACACAGTTTAGCTTATTCAATTCACCTATAGCGCATGTCTTTGGACTGTGGGGGAAACCAGAGCACCCAGAGGAAACCCACGTGAACACGGAGAGACCAATTAAATTTACAAAAGTTAATTTTTATTTACATAAAGCATGTTAAGACCATAAATCTATAGTAAAGAATAAAATATAATATATATACTATTTACTATATTATACTTTATTCTTCAAACCCTGAAGATTCAACCCTTTGCCAGCATGTTTTTAATCATTTAAAATACAATGCAATCAAATATAGTATGATCACAGATTTGTTTATTTATTTTAATACGTATGGGTTAGAATAAGAATACTATTTATTTTTTACATATAAAGTGTCTACTGTAAATCATAGTAAAAAAGGAGGATTAAACAGGATATTTATGTGCAGAGATGTCAGAATGCGGGAGGAGTGTTAATTATGTATTACAACTCTTATTGTTTTAATGCTTGAAACCCCTCTTTTATTATTACATGACATTTTTAAATCACTGTATTGTACATTAATAACTCGTATTGACAGTGTGTTTTCTTACCTTTGTCATAATACACTGATTTAATGCCTAGTGTTTTTTTAAAAAGATGTTTCCTCATTCAAACACACGGATAATCTTAGGATTTATGGATCAACAAAGAAAAACGAAACTAGTTTCTCGGAAAAGCTTTTATTTAGAAATCTTTTCCTTTGAATGCTCAGCAATTGTTTCTTAAGCAACATTAGTCTTTAAACTGTCATAGTGTAATATTTGAAAATCTGTAGTGTTTGTTTTATCTGCCCGCACTTGTGTAGAAAAAACTGAATTACGGAAAGACCTGGAAGCTAGTCATTTGTGAATTACGACTCGTCATTCACGTGTTTGTGAACGCATTCATCTTTTTTCATTGAATAATTTCTGTCACCTCCAATTTTTAGGATTCTTACTTGCCCAGTGGAACAAAAGGCCAGCTTTCGGACCAGTATCAAAATGTGTCTCGTTTACCCCGGTATAACTTTCAGCATTCAGAACCAAAGACATCTGAACCGCACAGCCTCACTAATGCTCTTTGCTGATGTTATTGCAGAAGTTATGTTTCATATGGAGCAACACATGATTATTTTGGTTTACTGAAATGAGTTATTGTGTTATGAATGATTGTTGTTTTGTATCTATGACAATAAACAGGCATTAATCAGTGTGTGTATGAATCATACGCATGCTGACTTCTGAGACGTTGGGGATGGATTGTTTTGTTTTTACGTGAAATCTAATTCTATAATTATTTTCCTAGAAATAAATTAGGAGGAACATAAATTGTGATGATTAGTTTTTTTTAAATTTCTTTTAATATGCATTAAGCAATTAAACATCACGTGTAGCTTACAATCTCACTGCATACAAATGAGTTCAAATCAGTCATGTCCACATTTAAATGCATATTATTTTGTTGCATTATTCACTTCACATCCACTATATGCATGTGCTCATGTATCTATGCACATTATGAAGTGCTTTAGCATTTTCTTACTAAAATGTAAAAGGGGATCACTTGATGTACCTAAAGTTCCTACACTTCATGTTTAAAACAAAAACACTTTTGATCCTTGATGTTCTTGTCTTTTTTATTAAAAGATATCTCAAATAAACCATAAATCACCAAGACGTTGTACGTTTCTTTGTGCTTAAAATTAGTAAATCAATTTATAGGAAATAATAAATTATTATTCGTCTTTAACATTTTTAAATCTTAGAAAATTTAGCTTTTAAGGTAAATGTACCTTGATAATAGATTGTAAAATACTGTGTGTGTGTGTGTGTGTGTGTGTGTGTGTGTGTGTGTGTGTGTGTGTGTGTATATATATATATATATGTGTGTGTGTATGTGTATATATATATATATATATATATATATATATATATATATATATATATATATATATATATATATTATATATTTATACAGTTGAAGTCAAAATTATTCGCCCCTTTGCATTTTTTTCTCTTTATTAATATTTCCCAAATGATGTTTAACAGAGCAAGGAAATTTTTACAGTATGTCTGATAGTATTTTGTTCTTCTGGAGAAAGTCTTATTTGTTATTTTTTGGCTAGAATAAAAGTTTTTATTAACAAAAAAAAAAAAAAACATATATATATATATATATATATATATATATATATATATATATATATATATATAGCTTGCCTAATTACCCTAACCTGCCTAGTTAACCTAGTTAAGCCTTTAAATGTCACTTTAAGCTGTATAGAAGTGGAAAATATCTAGTCAAATATTATGAACTGTTGTGTTGAAAGAATCTTCTCTCCGTTAAACAGAAATTGGGGGGGGGGGGGGGGGGAATAAACGGGGCTAATAATTAAGGGGGGCTAATAATTCTGACTTAAAACTGTATATATTTTCGTATTAAATGAGCCAAGTCAGTCTTTGTAAAGAAAGGTATGCGATAATATTAGCAGCTTAAATTACTTTCTAAAATGCTAAGAGGTGTGACATGCTGCCTGTTTGTAAATAGATTAGGCTGGCGTTTGATGTGACACTCCTCTCTCTTCCTACGCGCTCAAATATAAGTCATCGATCTCAATCAATGACACTACTGCAGCACTGCTCATCTTCTCATGATGTCTCCATCTACCTCAGCCATCGACACCTTTATTCTGCTGTTTTGTCTGGTGAGTGTGGCTTTTCTTTCAGCTTTCTTCTTTCGTTTTTCATTTATGTTAAATGATTTATTTAAAGAGACTTTTATTATTGACGCTTTATATGTCTGACGGGTTACAAATTAAAGGTTTCAAAAATATTAGCGGCAAAAAGCGTTCGAAATTTTAGGAGTTTTGAATTCTGTAGTACTTCAGAAGACGTTCGATGGAACAGTTATAATGTGACACCGACGTTTGTTTTGGGACTTCCAAAGAAGCATTCGTTCCTGTTTAACCCAGGGAAAGTTCCCAAGAACTGTTATTGTTTACTGACCAATTGAATTATCATGCAGCTCACGTGATGGGTTTTGTGCACTGCTCTTTTTTTTAATGTCATTTAATACTCAGTTTTGCATGGATTATTTGTTAAGTTTCCAATGATATATAATTTGTGTTTGTAGCTTACTGGAGTCAGGAACTGTTACTATTTAAATTTAGGTAGGTGTAAAACCCCAAAATTAAGTGCTGGCTAACAGGTTAATACAACATTATTGTGAGAGAGTTTTAGTCAGAAGAGTTCCTCTCACACTGACCCTTTGAAAGGCTGCAGCTGAATGCACTTCACAATTTAGTCACAAAAGAACATCCAGTCATTTTAGTAAGATGACAACAATGCATCAATTACTGGTAATCTTTGTTGTACTCATTTCTGTACTTTTACAAAAAGGAGATGTTATGAACTGTATACAGTAAATGACCAATATAAAATAACAAGTCAAAAAAAAAAAAGATCTTGCAAAACAGGTCAGCAAGGTGAACCTTGACTTGTAATGGACATTCAGCTTAATTAGTTAGAAAAACACACAGGGATCCCCTAAACACTACCAACTCACAACAGGAATGAAACAGCGTCGCTTGTACATTTTGTGTGGGTTTTCTGCGTAGTGACCAGGTCATATGAAGCGAGCTTGATAAGAATTTTTCCTGTGGGTGTTCTCTGGTTGAGAAATTTCGAGATATTTCGTGACCTGTCCCTTATCTGTTTGTTCTCAGGCAGTTTGACAAAAAAACCATTACGTGCATTCGTGAATCGGTCAGTTGTGTTGTGCAATTAAACGTGTGCCATGAAAACATCCAGATTCACATTCCCATCGATTGAACTTTGCTGATACCAACGTGTGCTTGTTTTCACTCTGATGGGATGAAAACAGAACTAATCTGTTTGCTTTTAAATCATTCATCATGTCAACACCCGTGCTGTCATCTGATAGTAGATTTTACTTCTGAACTCTGCTAAAAGCATCTGTAACCATTTACCAATAAGTCAGGCTGACAAGCCTACAAAGCAAACATCTCTTAAAGAGAGATCTAGTCATGGAATGTCTATAAAACTGCATACTCTTTTAATTATACACTAACTCACGCACTTTTCTCCATTTATTTATTGTGTCACGACCTTGGAGTTTATTGTGGGTCAACCTTAATGGGCAGTGTTACGTACCTGTTATTGAACTGATTATGCAATCCTAAAACTGGTCAAAACATTGTGATGAAGAAAAACATCTTAGGCTGATTTCTTCACATTAGACCAAGCTAATGAAACGAACAGTTCACCCAAAATTAACATTTAATACCCACACACAGTTGATTTTTGTCTTATAGTGAACAAAAAGGAAGATATTCTGAAGAATGTAGGCAGGATGTTGGAGGATGAGTCCATTTTGGGTGTACTATCCCTTTAACACTGATCATATCATAGTGCACATGCATAGCCTGTAGTATTTTTGTCAGATGTGATCATCTATTCTTGTTAGTTGACATCACCTAGGCTACATTTATGCTCATATTTAGGCACTGTTGTAAGTGTAGTGTACTATGGTGCAGTGATCAACATTAAAAATCAAACAAAAACTTAAATTTAAGGTTAAAGTTTAAGATTTGAAACCCTTTATACTTTTAAAAAGTGATGTTTTATATATTTAAAAAATAGTATCTACTTTAAAACATAACTTTAAAGGGATGGTTCATCCAAAAATGAAAATTCTGTCATTTACTCGTCCTCCTCAGTGGTGGAAAGAGTACTGAAAAATCATACTTGAGTAAGAGAACCATACTTGCCTAAAAATGTAGTGCAAGTAGAGTAAGAGTATCTGTTGTAAATATTACTCAAAGTACGAGTAAAAAGCAGCCCTTTCAAAAGTACGCAAGAGCAGTGAGTAGTAAGTATTATGCTGTAAAAAGCTGATGCGTTTACATGTAATTTGTGAATGTGTGTAAACGTAACATTCTGTAGTGCATTTAATCACTATTAATATAAATAAATTAAATATAATTTGTCCAGCAGACACACAACGTCATAAGACGTTAAAATTAGGTTAGATGTAGGTCATGATAGGTGACTAAAATTCAATGTCTAGCCAGCGTCTAAGAACAACGGTATATTGATGTCCAGTAATGATGTCAAATTACGTTGATATTTGGTTGATTTTAGGTTGTGTTGGAAAGTGACCAAAATCCAACGTCAAGCCAACATCTTAAACCAGAGTCATATTGACGTCAAATACTGACAACCAAAATTCATCTGATAGATGTCATAGTGGTAACTTCCACACAACGTCAAGCTATAACATCATTAGACGTTGAAATTTGGTTGATTTTTGGTTGTGTTGGAAAGTGACCAGAATCCAACATCAATCCAGCATCTTAAACCAGAGTCATATTAACGTCAAATACTGACAACCAAAATCCATCTGATAAACATCATAGTGGTAACGTCCACAAAACGTCAAGCTATGACATCATTAGACGTTGATATTTGGTTGATTTTAGGTTGTGTTGGAAAGTGACCAGAATCCAACGTCAAGCCAACATCCTAAACCAAAGTCATATTGACGTCAAATACTGACAACAAAAATTAATCTGATAAACGTCATAGTGGTAATGTCCACAAAACGTCAAGCTATAACATCATTAGACATTGATATTTGGTTGATTTTAGGTTGTGTTGGAAAGTGACCAGAATCCAACGTCAAGCCAACATCTTAAACCAGAGTCATATTGACGTCAAATACTGGCAACCAAAATCCATCTGATAAACATCATAGTGGAAATGTCCACACAACGTTAAGCTATAACATCATTAGACGTTGATATTTGGTTGATTTTAGGTTGACCGTCAACCCGATTTTCATTTCCAAACAAAACAAAATTGGGGTATAAGGTCAATCTGACGTCATGTTGACATCTTGTCCATGCTGGGTGTTTCAGGCCATTTCAGTCATCATACAGTAAACATCCATCATCTTCTCATCAGTGACATGCGTGTAAAGATTTTGAACATCCTCTTGGACATTTTTAATGCTTCCAAATAGTTTGCTGCAATTATAAATTGCCCATGTCTTGAGGTAGTTCAGTATGATGCGATTTACTTTCTGTGCGATTGAATTGGAAAGGAATCACAAACACATTCTAATCCCCATAAACAAGAGAGTAAATTAGTGACTGCAGGATGAAGGAAAGTAGTGGAGTAAAAGTACCAATACAGCAGTAAAATTTACTCAAGGGAAAGTAAAAGTTTTAAAACTACTTAGTAAATTACAAATTCTGAGAAAAACTACTCAATTACAGTCATTTGAGTATTTGTAATTTGTAACTTCACACCACTTCTCATTTTCAACTGTTCTGTTAAATGAAAAAAAAGATAAATTAAAGAATGTTGGGAACCTGTAACCATTGACCTCTATAATATTTATATTACCTACTTTGCTTACAGGAAACTTACTAGCAATCTCTAAGTAAATAATAGTTAAGATGGTGATGCATATAATTTAATCGGATCTTTTTTCTTTTACAGCTTTCTTCTTTTTCACACATCAGCTGTCATGACACAGTGACTGGTAAGTTTAAACCACTTCCTCCCTAACATGTGTTCCTCATCACCCTGACATGAAATAGGTCATATTTTAATCCGCCGTCCACCCATCAGACATTAAGCATCATGAGCTCAACGTCTGATGTACTACTGACTCATAATACACTTATATCTTTATATTATCTCAAAATAAGCCACGATAAAGATAGTGGGGAAACACAAGCGCACTTCCTTCAAAGGCTGAGTGACATCAGCGACATTTAAACAGTTTGATCTGAGGCTTTTGTCAAGTTTGAGTCTATAATTAGATTGTATAGCCTTTTATGCACTCATTATTAAAGAGGCGGTCTACTACAATATCATATTTTAAACTTTAGCACATGTGTAATGTAGCTGCGTGAACATAAACAACATCTCCCCTGCTGAAAAATCCAGCTTAAACCAGCCTAGGCTGGTTGGCTGGTTTTAGCTGGTTGACCAGCCTGGTTTTAGAGGGGTTTTGGCCATTTCCAGGCTGGTTTCCAGCCATTTACAGCCTGGTCTTAGCTGGTCAGGCTGGAAAATGATCAGCCAAATGCAGCTAAAACCAGTTTGACCAGCCTGGTTTAAGCTGGACATAGCTGGTTTTGGCTGGACTCCCAGCTTGGCTAGGCTGGTCAAGCTGGTTTTAGCTGGTTATCTCCCAGCCTGACCAGCTAAGACCAGGCTGGAAATGGCTGGAAACCAGCCTGGAAGTGGCCAAAACCCCTTAACCCCTTGGTTTAAGCTGGATTTTTCAGCAGGGTCTGAATGTAATACACTAGAAGTTCAATGCAAAGGGAGACATTGGCTTTTACAGGGTTAGCTTAGCAAAGCCTACAACAAAAAAAATACATCTGGGTTAGTGACATCACAAATGCTTGAGGTTACGTGCATTAACCATGCGCAGTGAAGGGTGACCAGAGGCGCTGTAATGTTATAGCAGAGAAAGCTAAAATGGCGTCCAAACACTGCTGTTTCCACAGAGCTTCTTCTGTTTCTGTATTTGGGCTTCCAAAGGACATGACACAAAGGAGAGAAATGCTTACAATTTGATTTAATTATGTTCAAGAGAATTATAAAAATATACAGCTAGCATTTGACAAAGGATAGCTCCCAGAATCTCTCCCAGTTCAGTGCTGGATTGGGCTAAAAACTCCTCAGCAGCTAACCGTAATAGACAAACCAGTGGATTGTGAGCCACAACCTGTAAGTATATTTATTTGTTAAAATGTATTTTATACATGCAAAGTTTCTATCGTTAAAGGTAGCAAGGACGTGAACAAGGATGTAAACAATGGGAAATGCTGTTTGGTACCGCTAACAATTTAGCTAAAAATTCATATTTAAACATCAAATCGCTGTAAACACCCACAGTCTTCAGCAGTGCTGCAGTGTCTCTCTATGCAGATGCTTTCCCTGAGTTCTACATCTCAAATAACAAACTCCCGAAGATATGTGAACGTTTCACATTACTTATACATGCTTATTCCGAATATATATGAAGGACGCTTGTCAGATTTTATTTTAGAGAGCAGGCCTCGTGAGGTTCAGCAGTGTCCTTTGTGTCATTTTCTGTCTGATTCAGGCTCAAACTGAAACGGCTTGATGCTTTTTCTCGTGGCGTTAATAATGTTAGCTGACCAATCAGAGCCTTTTGGAGGATCAAAGCCATACGTGCCAATTCGCATGCTTACTGTATAAAAGTATGTACTTTGTTTGTGAAGTAAACATTTACACTTTGGAGTGTTTAACAGAAGAGTATGCAAGCCTTGGGTCATACCACTTCCTTATTAACAGATTGTTACATTGCTTAGCAGGCCCGGATTGGCTAATCGGGAGAACCGGGAGAATTCTCGGTGGGCCGGTCCGTTTTTTGGCCGCGAGGGCCGGTGTCCCTAGCTGCTTGCACTCTCAGCAGTTGCACTTTTTTAATTTATTTGTTTATTTGACCATAACCTCACTCTTTTTGATCATTATTTTGCAACAGCTCCGCTCTTTTTATTTATTTTCTCGCAGCCCCGTAAGCAAAATGCAGCTCGCAGGATAATGATGATCATCATTAACCTGCGGGCTGCACCCCATTCCACCAAAACAGCGGCACCTTAGTGATTATTAATTAATATTAATGAATATTACACCTGCTCAATGAAAATCAGATGATTCACTACATTAATAAATCTGACCTAACATGATCAGAAATCTAAAATGGGGAGAAAAGAGTAGGGTAAACAAAGAGTAGACATTAATAGCAACAGATAACAGTGTATTGCTTAACAGCGCCATCGTGGTCTAGTGGTTAGCACATTTCGCTTTGATGCAGCTGACCCGAGTTCAAACCTCACCAGAGTATAATGTGTTTTTTTTTTTTCATTTTCAGTGTTAAGACATAAAATACTGTTTGGGTTACTTATGTAGGGATACATATTTTTTTATATATACTGTGAGCAATATCAGCGATTAGATTATGGACGCTTCTACATTTAAAATCTTTATCGGAAATAGTAAACCATCTGGGAAACTTTGGCATACTCTTTTCAACATACTACAATTTGGGATATACTAATTCTATTTTCAAATACTATTTAGGACGGATAGTATACGAATTGGGACTCAGCATGACAGCTGACAGTGGTTTTCATGTTAGCTGAGTAGCTGTATATAATCAAAGTAAGATATATGAAAAAAATAACGTGATTTTCTACAAGTGAAGCATAAACACACATTGCTTTGCATAGTATAAACACAACCAAGCCTTAAAAATACACCCTGGACTACCCCTTTAAAAATATAATGTTTCCATATGGTTTTCTGTAGAGATGTGATGACAGAAACCATTTTTTTTTTTAAGAATCTTTTTTCATCTTTAGAGTTCCATGAAAATACATAATGGAATCTTTTCACTGCATAAAAGAACATTTGTCTGTGTGGAATGGAATGTTTCCTGGTTTTCCAATGGAACCATCATTCCAAATAAAGATTTTAACCAAACTTGTGTTGTACAGTAACTAATATTCATATATGCAAACTCAGTGGTTGAGCTTACTACACTGAAAAAAGTGTTGCATGCGGAACTGATGCAAACAATTTATTTGTGTTGAATTTAAACAAACAAATTAAATTTAATAATGTTCAACTTAATTTGTTTGTTTAAATTTAGCCCAGATAAATTATTTACAACCACTTAACATAAAAAATGTAGTAAATCCAAAGAATCAACTTTGAATAATTTTATTTCTGTGAATGGTGTTTCACCAGAAGTTATTGCAACACAGATAATGTAATTTCTAAAGAAGATTTTGAAATTTACAGTCCATGTTAAAATCCTTATACAGTACACTGACAAAAATGATTCATCACATTTACATTTTTTTAAAGGGGTGGTCCAGAGTGTATTTTTGAGGCTTGATTGTGTTTATAAGATGCAATGCAATGTGTGCTAATGCTTCACTTGTAGAAAGTCATGATATTTTTTCCTTTTTCATATATTTTTGATTATATACAGCGAAATATTCAGCTAACATGAAAACAACTGTCATATTTCCTAGTTTCTCTGAAAGGCCTGCTCTCAAGAGGCTCTTATTGGTCAGGTAACATAATGTGCTGTGATCCATGGATCAGCTCCATATCACCAGGAAAAGCATCACACGCCTTCAAGCATGTGCTTTTGCACTGTGTAAACACTTTCAGACAGAAAATGACACAGAGAACACAGCAGAACCTCACACCTACTCTCTAAAATAAAACCTGACAAGTGTCTTTCACATATATTCAGGTGATATGCATGTGAAAGTAATATCTCATATCCTCATATCTTTTGTGAGTTGGTTATTTCAGATGTAGAATACAGGGCTGCATAGAGAGACGCTCCACTGCTGAAGATTGTGGGTGTTTACATCGGTTTGACGGGTATATATAAATTTGTAGCTAAATTGTTAGCATTTCCCGTTGTTTACGTCCTTGCTACAACATACTGTTAATGCTAGAAACTGTGCATGTAGTAGATCAATTTCAACAAATAAATAAACTTATAGGTTGTGGCTCACAATTCACAGCTTTGTCAATTATGGTTAGAGCTTCTCCTTCTTTGAGGAGTTTTTAGCCGAATCCAGCACAGAACTGGGAGAGATTCTGGAAGCTGTCCTTTGTCAAATGCTAGCTATATAATTTTATAATTCTCTGTAGCATAATTAAAATTAAATTGTAAACACTTTTCTCTCTGTGTTGTGGCCTTCGTAAGCCCAAATACAGAAAGAATGGAAGCTTGCAGAAATGGCATCGTTTGGATGTCATTTTAGCTTTTTATGCTTCATTACAGCTCCTCTGGCCACACCCCTTCGCTGCACATGGTGATTTCGTGTAACCTGAAGCATTTGTGATCTCGCCAAACAGATGTATTTTTTTTTTGTAGTCCCCAATCTTCGTTCGTTGTAGGCTTTGCTTAGCTAACTCTGTGAAAAAGCCAATGTCTCGCTTTGCATTGAACTTTGAACGTATTACATTTAGAGAGGTTGTTTATGTTCACGCAGCAACATTACACATGTACTAAAGTTTAACATATGATATTGAATTGGACCACCTCTTTATACAAATTAAATTGAGGAAACTAGAAATTCCATGAGTTCAGACAAAGTAGGGGGAATCCACCTTCAGCTACTGTTATAGTAAGTTATTTGGTTAGATTAGCTTCAGATTTGGCTTCAGTACTGACTAATCTAATGTATATGCTCAAATATAATATGTGTAGCTTCCTATTCAAAATATGAATTTAAAAAAGAGATTTGTGAGGGGTTTACTTATGCAGTTGAAAGCAGAAGTTTACATAAACTGTATAAAAAGGCACAACCATTTAAAAAAGTCAGATGTTTATGCAACTAAACTTTTTCTCTTTTATGTAAGTTATGATCATCAAATTCATTTCTGTTCTGCTTAATAGCAGAATAATGAGAGAGATATGCTGTGAGAAATTGTTATAACTTTTTTTGAAAGTCAAGTTTACATACAATAAGATTATTCTGCCTCTGAAAAGCTCAGATGATGATGTCAAGGGTTTGGAAGTTTCTGATTGGCTAATTGACAACATTTGAGGTAATTGGAGGCACAGCTGTAAAATAGTATATAAGGAAACCTCAAACACACTGCTTCCTTGTGTGACAACATGTGAAAATCAACAAGCCAGAATCAACACAAAAGCCAGATTACAATTTGCTAAATTACACTGGGAAAAGGCTAATATTTGGAGACATGTCCTGTGGTCTGATGGAGCTAAGATTGAACTGTTTGGCCATAATGACCAGTGTTACATTTGGAGGACAAAGGGGAAAGCTTACAAGCCTAGGAACACCATCCAACTGTGAAGTATGGGGGCGGCAGCATCATGTTGTGGGGCTGTTTTGCTGCAGGAGGGACTGGTCTACTTCACAGCATAGATGGCATCATGAAGACAGAACATTATGTAGAAATACTGAAGCAACATCTTAAGACATCAGCCAGGAAATTAAAACTTGGCCACAAATGGGTCTTCCAAACAGAATATGACCCTAAGCGTAATGCCAAATTAGTTAAAATGTGCTTTAAGGACAACAGAGTGAATGTTTTGGAGTGGCCATCACAAAGCCCTGAGCTCAATCCTATATAAACTTTGTGGGCAAATCTGACTCAGTTACAGCAATTCTGTCAGGAGGAATGGGCCAAAATTCCTTCAAACTATTGTGAGAAGCTTGTGGAAGGATACCCAAAACATTTGACCAAAGTTATACAGTTAAAAGAAAATACCAAGCTAAAGAAATATCAAGGAAATGTGTGTAAACTTTTGACTGTCTAGAAATTAATAAAAAAATTCTCAAAAAAATTATCTCATTATTCTGGGATTTTGCAATTGTAAATCATTTAGTTAATCCTAATGGACCTAAAATAATACATGTTGAGTATGATTTAACACCAGACTTTTTTTATGGATATGTTCCTTTTTTAGAGTGTTTGTAAACTTCTGGTTTCAACTGTATATGCTGGGCACTGTAAATAAACTTGCCTTGCTTTGCCTTGCCTAATGTTCAACTTAATTTGTTTAAATTCAGCCTATATAAATTATTTGCAACCACTTACTTTAAAAAAAAAAAAAAAGAGTAAATCCAATGAACCATATTTTTTAGCGCAAACGTGACCTGATGGCCATTTATAGTAAAAACAGTGGTTACTTGCTCAACCTTCTCAGTCAGTTTCCTGTAATTAAGCATTGCATCAGTGTCAATTAGTGGTGTATTTTAGGACATGCATCACTGTTTCAATCTTGTAAGTTAGCTGGGAACTGTTGTGAACACCTTAGCAACCACTAAGAAACCACAGAGCACATTGGTGTTTTCAACAGTCATACTGTAATGCTGTGATCAACATGTATGTTAAAAGTGTGAGATAGATTGGTTACCAACAGTCAGACTTTTCCTGCAGATCAGATCAGGCTGACCAAAAGCTTGCACCGTTTGCCAGAATAACACCTGACTTGTGCAAATTGACTATAGGGAGTTTTTACTGACTCTTTGAATGCTTTTCCCTCAAGTTTCAGAATGTCTGTATCTGTAATTTGTATATGACTGACTGTGTACTAGGTAATCTGGCGCCAGTCAATTCAAAACTCCTGTTTTGTGCTGCATAATGTGCTTCACTAGTTGCAGAGACTATTTTTGATCTCTGGGTTGTTTTATGCTTTTTTATTTAGGTAATAACAGGCAAGGCCGTAAATGTGAAAGTGGCAAATACCTGCTCCAAAAACCAGGTGGACTGAAATGCCAACGCTGCACTCTGATGTGTGATGGTTAGTAGTTGCACGTCATTTCCCAGCATTTTAGCTTTGAAGTCAATAACTGTTAACCTAACAGTTACAGTACCGAATGTAGTTTCCTATGTTTTCTTAATGCTTACACATTTCTTGTATTTTCCTGTGCAGTGCATCGGCGCACATTATTATAAAGTAAAAGGTTTATCTATTGTATAACCTTTGCATTTGCAATAACTTTTTTTGGATCATGTTAGTCTGGGATATGTTGAATTTCACCATTCACTGAACTGCTATTGGATCAAATCATGCCCCATCCTATTTTTTGTTTAATATATACAATAACTATATGTATACAATTCATGCACTTTTTCTCTGAGGTAAGTGTTCCTGTTGCATTTGTTGCAACCAAAGTTATTAAAGTTTGCAAACTTTTTGACACTGCAAATGTATGAAAGGTCATTGGTGCCAAAAGTCTTTAAATGATACAGATGAAGTGTGATCATGTCAACACACATTTGAGCATGTGAAAACCACAGTTTTGAATGTGTTTCTTTAGTATTAGTAATCATAGTTTGACCATGTTGAGGTAGATTTTTCATTTAAAGCGGTATAACTTCTGAAATGGATATATGTACCAATCAGCAACCTCCCGATTTCCTTCGTGATGCTAATATTGTAGCTGAAACTTCAATTCATCAAAATTCCACTAGTCCTGACTCCATAATAGAGCACATTTCTATTGACCCCACTGATAAAATAGCCAACTTTACAGCAGAAAAAAAAAACATGTTTACAGCCTGCTACAAAAGACGGTTTTGGTGCATATAGCTAATATTACCCTTGATGACAACTGTGAGGGGATGAATTCTTTTATAACTCATCCGTTTTGTTTATATTAAGGTATATTAAGTCTGCATAATTAAGGGCGCAGCCACTTAAGTGACAGCTAGGTCTCGCTGGTCGCTGTCACTTCATCTCAACTGATTCCGGCTGATTAGCTGCTGAACTCGGCATATACATCATATTTATGTTTTGTTTCATGTGGCTTTACAAAGTAAGTTGCCTTTTGGGATTATTTCCTACAATTATCAGATGATATGGCATGCTGTGTGCACTTTATTGTGCTCACAAACCATTCACGTGGCCTCCATTTGCCAAGTGAGTGAAATTATATACTTGCAAACCATCTCTATAAATGCATTTGTTTTAAGATAGTTTATCATTTATATTTTTCTTTAGACCTGTAAGGCCACATTTACACTGCACTGTTCAAGTGACTCAATTCCGATTTTGTTCTCCCATGTGGCACAGATCAGATATTATCCATGTATGTGTAAGCAGGAACAAATCACATGAATTCCGATTTCCTCCAATCAGATTAAGGTCTTGATCATATGTGGAAATTTATCCAATATGAGTCAGATCTGTGCCGTCGTGTCTGCAGTGTAAGCAGGTAGATCGGATTTTCACCTGCCAATATGAGCCATGCGTCATTAAAAACCGCAGGGAATGACGTCAAGTCTGACACTTTTATTTCAGAACAGACTTCAGCAGAGTCCCTAACCTTAAATCTCATACACGAGTACTTAAACAGCTTTCATATCGTCATATAGCACAGGTATTTAAGCATGTTAACGAGAGCGAGAGAGCGCATTGTCCACCATGTAACCAATATAAACTAATATAAAACTAGTGCATAGCTACATCACGTGCATAAATCACGCCAAGGACATTACATGAAGATGCCTACAGGTTTATAAAAGCCTTTATATCAAAAGAAGATAAACAAATGAGAACCTTTCTGTCATAAACTAGAGTAAAACAGATTGTTAAAAGCTCACAGAACAGATTACATACAGGAATAGAGAAAAGAGCGCTCTTTAATCAGCTGTTAGTCAGCGCTCGCTCTTTTTTTTTCTGGTCATTGTGCCTTTGCTGTGTGCTGTGTAAATGCAGACGATCGGATACGAGTCACTTTTAAAAGATGATGTAAGCAGGTCAGGAAAAAAATCGGATACAGTCTCAAAATCGGAATTGACCATCAAGATCTGCAGTGTAAATGCAGCCTAAAGCACTCCAGAATCTGACAGATTGATTAGCTGTAGGCTATAAAACAGTCATCTGAAGCGTTGTCATAGTGTTATACGTGGATTTCATAAATAGCCACACTACACAGACTATATTTGAAGTATTTGGAAGTAATTTGCATTTTCCTTCTGTACAAAAATGTCATAAGAATAATACTTAGGGACTAAATGTATTACAAACTAGATTAAACACTTTGTTGATTAGTATAGAACCAAGCATATCAGAAGGTAATGAAGTATGAAGCTTTTCTTCCAAAGAAAAGCCTGTCTAAGCAAAATACTAGCAGGCAGCTGCAGATCCTCTCGCGCTCCTCCTCTTTTGTGGTAAACCCCAGTAGGCATGTTGACGTGCAAACAAAATGGCAACGGTTGGCCAACGGTTGGCTACTTGTAGCTTCATTTGCGCTCTTCAGAAACCTATGGGTGACGTCACCGATACTACGTCCATATCTTTTACAGTCTTTGTAAAATTATTATCCATTATCCAAAAATTATGATTTTTTGTTTGTTTAAAAGAAGTCTAATAGATGGCTAAACATATATTAGACTTGACTAAAAGAAGGCCAAATTTGGTTTGTCAGTGAAGATCTAATAGACGTCTTAAGAATTTCACAAGAAATCAAATACACAGGAATGAATGACTACACACTTGAAGTCTGTCTAGTCTGTGTATTTGATCACTTGTCTAATTTGGGCTATTCTTAAAGTAACCTGTTATGCCCCATCATATAAGATGTAAAATACATCTCTGATGTCCCAAGAGTGTGTATGTGAAGTTTCAGCTCAAATGTCACACAAATAATGATTTATAAGTCTTTGAAACTGACCCACTTTGATCCTAATTGGGCCATTTTGGTGACTGTCGCTTTAAATGGAAATGAGATTGTGCTCTTTTCATAAGAGGGTGGAGCTACAAATGGATGCTTGAGCATATTGGCAGATTCAAAAACAAGACTAACATCGTATGTTAATGAGGAAGAGATCTTACTGTTGTGATGAGTAGCAGTACTTAAGATGTTTGTATGTTTTTGGTGAATTGTTTTTTGCTGACCGCACTTTGTCTTTGCCTATAAATGGAAACAGGTCAGAAAAATCAGATGGAAGTCACTTCATGCTCTCAGGAAAGGAACAGAGTTTGCTTTTGCAAACCTGGTTTTTACTGTTCAGAAGGAAACAAATATAATACATACTGCCACAATGCATGCATTCCCTGTGCGACGGGCACATTCTCCAGCAAACCCTCTCTGACCTCCAGCTGCACGCCTCATACAGAGTGAGTATTGTTCATGTTCATTCATTCATTCATTCATTCATATGCCTTCAGCTTAGTCCCTTATTTATAAAGGGTTGCCACAGCGGAATGAACCGCACAGTATTCCGTCATATGTGTCACACAGTGAATGCTCTTTCAGCAACAACCCTGGCCTGTACTGGGAAACACCCATACACTCTCACATTCACACACTCATAAACTACGCCCAATTTTGTTTACCCAATTCACCTATAGCGCATGTGTTTGAACTGTGGGGAAAACCGGGGTGTGTTCATGTTCATTCAAATTGCATTTTTATAATGATTACCCTGCTGAAAAATCCAGCTTAAACCAGCCTAGGCTGGTTGGCTGGTTTTAGCTGGTCGACCAGGCTGGTTTTAGAGGGGTTTTGGCCATTTCCAGGCTGCTTTCCAGCCATTTCCAGCCTGGTCTTAGCTGGTCAGGCTGGGAGATGACCAGCTAAAACCAGCTTGACCAGCCTAGCCAAGCTGGGAGTCCAGCCAAAACCAGCTATGTCCAGTTTAAACCAGGCTGGTCAAGCTGGTTTTAGCTGGATTTGGCTGGTCATTTTCCAGCCTGACCAGCTAAGACCAGGCTGGAAATGGCTGCAAACCAGCCTGAAAATGGCCAAAACCCCTCTAAAACCAGCCAACCAGCCTAGGCTGGTTTAAGCTGGATTTTTCAGCAGGGTATTGGTACATATGAAGTTTATCAGACTTGAACTGAATTCATATAAAAGCGTAGGGATTGTTCACTCAAAAAATAATCATTTACTCGTCAAACCTTTTGAGTTTCTTTCTTCTAATGAATGCAAAAGAAGATATTTTAATATGCTGGAAACCTGTAACTATTGACTTCCATGTTATTTGTTTTTCCTACTTAGTCAATCGTTACAGCTTTCCAACATTTTTAAAATAACTTATGTTGTGTTCAGATTTGGATCCACCTGAGGCTGAGTAAATAGTGTGTCAATATTCAACTTTGTATGAACTATCCCTTTAACATTTCGCACAATAATTAAAGAAATCTGTTGTTAGTTAATCTACCACTATCAAAAAAAAAGTGACATAAGACTTAAAAAGTGAACTTTCAAGACTTTTTTTATCTGTGATCATGGTTGTTGGTGATTCATACAACGAATGTATAGTCATGAATCGCAGGTATTGGTTTTGTTTTGTCTGAATATACTTCTGGATACTGAAAGTGGCTGTGAGCTTTGACTTGCATTTTATGAATCAACAAGGATTACAGTTTTTGCTATAAAAATCTTCTTCAGAAATAAAAAAAAATAAATCACCTACTTCTCGGTTGATTTGAGGATGAGCAAATTGTGATTAAATTAAATGTTTTTGTATGAACTGTCCCTTTAACATTTTGCTAAATAAAAAAATCCTTTGTTAACTATCCTACCAACTTTACACTATCAAAGAGTGACCTAGGATGATCTTTTCCTTCATAGTACTTTGAAGACTTTTTTTTTATCTGTAACCATGGTTGTTGGGGATTCATAAAATGGACGGTTTTGCTTCAGAAAAGGCGAGGCAAGTTTATTTATATAGCACATTTCATAAATGTGATTTAATTTTTGTATGAACTATCCCTTTAGCATTTTGCAAATAAAAAATATGTAGTTAATTTACTTAACACCTTTAAAATATCAAAGAGTGACTTAAGATGATCCTTTCCTTCATAGAACTTTTTTTAATCTGTAATCCTGGTTGTTGGGGATTCATAAAATGGACTGCTTTGCTTCAGAAAACCCCAGTGTATAGTCAAGAACTACAGGTATTAGTTTTGTTTTGCCTGAATATGCTTTTGGATGTTAAAAGTGACTGTAACCGTTGACTTGCATTTTATAAATCACCAAGGACTACATCCACATAGCAAAATTTCTCTGCCCAGCTCTGGCCCACACAATCAGGTTTTGCTTGGCCCACATGCCGCAGTGAATTACGGTACATGACTGGACCAAATCTGGCTTCCAGACAAGGGCCAAACACGGACCATATCTGGGCCAAGTCTCAGCCAAGTTAATAACTCATAACTGGGCCTGAACTGGGCCAGATAGGTTGGTGTGTCACGATTGCAATGAAATTGATAAACCCATGGAGTGATGCGCTTTAGGCACACTATGGGCACGCTTTTTCTCAAAGTGACCTGATTGGTAGAATTTTTTTTCTTTACTCAAAAATGATTTTAGTGTATTTTAAATGTGGGTCAAGACTGGCCAAACTCAAATGGCCCACTTATCACATTTTTAAATCCGGGCCAAATACTACGTTTTTCATCTGGCCCAAATCTTGTGTGCCGCCTTAAAGACGGTGCCACCTCTGCCAAACCCAGGTCATGTTTGGCCCACATGCTGTATGCCAGTGCCGGATGAATGCCTGCTGTGCCAGCTTCATGCCAAATCTGGGCCAGAATTCTTTGCTACTAGGGAAGATTCTGCTATAAAAACTTATGTGGAAGAAAAAAACATTACCTACTACTTGGATGGCCTGAGGATGAGTAAATTGTGATTTAATGTTTATTTTTGTATGAACTAGCCCTTTAACATTTTGCACAATAAAAAAATCTTGTCTTAATTAGTTAACCTACCAATTTTTGACTATCAAAGAGTGACTTAAGATGATCCTTTCCTTCATAGAACTTTTTTTAATCTGCAATCATGGTTGTTGGTGATTCATCAAATGAACTGCTTTGCTTTAAAACAAAACAACCCAGTGTATAGTCAGGAAACCACAGGTATTAGTTTTGTTTTGCCTGAAGCCCATTTACACTGATGCGTTTTAGTTTGAAAACGCATAAGTTTTGCTACGGTTACTCCGAAAATGGAGCGTTTTGGAAACGCTGGAGAGGCTGTTTTCATTCTAAAACGCTGCTGCTCAGTCTCAGTGTGGATGGGGGAAAACGGAGACATCTGAAAACGGAGGCGGGGCTGCCGAGATTCGCCACCTGATTGGGGCTTTTGTGTCATTGCGTATCTACAGTTCCCCTTCGGGGGGAACTTCAGCACTATAAGTGGATTTGATTTGTAAAATCCACGCATTGGGAGGATTCGGATCAGAAGCCGCTTGTCTGGAGAGTATTGAACGGGCCAATGAATGAAATTAATTAGCAGCGTAAGCTTGCGCAGGTGTGCGACATCTGCAATTATCTCAGCATATAAGCACACCTGAAGCCAGCAGACGCCATCCTTTTCGCTTCAGATCCTTTCTGAGTGAGTCGATGAGGGTTCCTCTTGCTGATCAGCACTTCAGAGCGAACGAGTGTGTCTCCCGGTCCAGAGTGGGTCTTCGCGGTGGCAGACGGTCGAGCTGGGTTACTCCCTTGCCTGCGGTTCTTTGGGTCCGGTCCTCCAGAGCGGTGCGTATAGTTGCAACTTTCCTAAAAGAGCAACACAGTCGTGCAGCACGTCCTTTTCAGGATGGCGCTCCGACTGTGCGTTTCTGGATGCGGGGGTTTCCTGGCTCCGGATGATGGACACGATCACTGCATTGCATGTTTGGGGGTCCAGCATGTTAATGCGGTGCTCGCGGGCGGTTCATGTCGTCATTGCGATGCCATGACCGTTGCACAGCTAAGATCGCGGCTAACTTTCGCAAGAGAGCGAGCCACCCCAGTTGCCTCCTGTTCTAAAAAAGCAGCGGGCGCTCGGGCAGATCTGAGGGTTTCAGCGGGAGATAATCCGCCGCCCACGGGCTCGCGGACCTCTCGCTCCTCACGGCGCTCCATCCAAGCTTCGGGTGGTGAGAGTGATCCGTCTAACCAGATGGTAGCTCTCACACTCGCTGACACCGGAGATCAGATGTCCTCCGCGGCATCGGAGGGTGGGCTTTCACTGTCCGACGAAGATCCGGACCTGATCGCCCCCTCCGGGCAGGTGAGCGCTGTCAAATCGGATCCTGAAGCGGACATGTTAGCCGTGCTTTCCCGGGCTGCTTCGGCCGTGGGGTTGGAGATGGTTTATCCCCCAGCTCCGCGGCCGGACCAACTAGATGGGTGCTACGTAGAGGACCAGAAGGCGAAGCCTTCGAAGCCTCTCGTCCCCTTCTTCCCGGAAGTGCACAGTAGGCTCACGCAGTCTTGGAGGGCACCTTTCTCTGCCCGTGCTGCGTGTGCCTCCGCCCTCACCGCCCTTGACGGCGGAGCTGCCAGGGGGTATGAGGCGATCCCGTCAGTGGAGCGCGCTATCGCGGTCAATCTTTGTCCGCGCGGCGCCTCTACGTGGCGGGGTTTGCCCCGCCTCCCGTCCAAAGCCTGTAGGTTGTCTGCCTGCCTCGGAGCCAGAGCTTATAAGGCTGCGGGCCAGGCTGCTTCTGCTTTGCACGCGATGGCCACCTACCAGCGCTACCAAGCGCAGGCGCTGGCCGAGCTGCACGAGGGCGGGTCCAACCCAAGCTTATTACATGAGCTGCGCACCGCGACCGACTATGCTCTTCGGACTACTAAGTCCGCCGCGTGTGCGCTGGGGAGGACGATGTCCACACTTGTGGTTCAGGAACGCCACCTCTGGCTAAACCTGGCCGATATGCGCGACGTTGACAAAGTTCGCTTTCTTGACTCGCCCATATCCCAGGCTGGCCTGTTCGGCGACACCGTCGGTGAATTCACCCAGGAATTCAAGGCGGTGAAAGAGCAGTCGGATGCGATGGGCAATGTCATCTATCGGCGTGGCCGTAAGCCCGCTCCGCCCGCCGAGCCATCCACTTCCACTGTTCCTCGCCGAGGGCGCCCGCCAACGAGTGCTGCCCCGCCCCCGCCTGCGCCTCCGGCCAAGCGGGCGCGGCGTTCACCTCGAAAGCAGGCAGCCCCTCCTGCCAAGGGCGCCGTTAAGTCCGGTAAACGGACCGCGAAGCGTACCTGAGACAGGCCATCCGGAGAAGAGGAAACTTGCTCTTTCCCCGCTGGAGGGCGGGGCCCCGATAACAACGGTACTTTTCAGTGCCACCAAAACATCAGTAAAAGAGCACTTTTTCCCTTCCCCGGATGTGACTGCA